ACCAGTTCTGTAGAACTGGTTTGTCAAATCTACCAAACTGGTTAGAAGAGGTTCCACCAGTGGACCTGGAAAGCAGGCCATACCTACAGAAGAGGTTCCAAAAATTTTTGAAACCCACCACTGGTTCCCAGCCAATACTTTCAGATTCTTCAGTTGCATTGTACACACTAAGACGAGTGGCATCACAAAACAATTTCAGAAGCATGAAAATTAATTGTTCAAAGGTAAGTTAAATGCTCAAATCAGAGATGCTATCTGATCTTAGTTTGAATTTAGTGTTTCGCAGGTTGAAATCTAAAAGATTTAAAAGATTTCATGTGAAAACATTGACATATTTGACAATTCCCATAATGAGTAAAGACAGATGGTTAAATGGATGGACAGGTTTTCTGTTCTTAATTTCAGCAGAACTCACTTTGAGGAACAAAGAACTAAAATAGTTACTTCAATCAGTTTATTTTTCTGCTGATCTTGAGGTGTTCAAGATACATATAGCCTTCCATAAATTATTCCTTTGAAGGGGGAAATGTGAATGCATGCCTATTTTATTACATGCATATCTAGCAATATCAATTTAATCTCTTCTCACTATACAAGTTTAAAATTAAACACTTAGCTATCAAGGATTTATTGCCAGTCACCAATATTAATTAATAATATTTGCTAAATCCCCCATGGTCCCATACACCATATTAGTAATGTTAGGATAGCCATTTTGAGAACTGGAGATTCATCCATCACATATACAACTGTAGCTTGAGAAAATTGGGGTTTGTGAGCAATGTGCTTATCTATAATTTTCATTCATTTAACATGTCTAGATACACAAATATTTAAATATACTTCTATTAGCAGATAGAGAACAAGCCTCATAATTTTTGTACAACATGGCTTGTCTAAAATTAGGATTGCATATGTATGCTTGACTTACCCAAGTTCTACAATACATTCCAGGTGTTTCTCCAAATCATATTTCTCTTCTGCTGGCCTCTCTGTTTCTGTTCTGAAATAAAGTTTGATCAGAATATTAATTTTAGAAAAAGGACAGAATATATTCCAAGCTAGCAGAAAAGTATACTTGTATTTGATTAACACCTTTGTCAGGATTGAGCTGGTCTGTTCCTCCCCATCCAGACCCCAACAGCCTCCAGCCAGATTCAGTAGCTCAGTAGTTTCTCACATCCAACTCAGACAGAGAGGAAGCTGGGAACCAATAGCATATTGAGGATACTAAACCCAAAATATGTTCTTACCAAAGTACATTTCATCAAAGTTAATAAAAATAGCTGGTACATGATAATTTATAAGATAACTTACAATTCTTTGGGCTGGGCTAGTTTTTCCTCCACAGTTCCTTGGACCACATTTAGTTTAATTTCCATGTCTACATTTTTAACAGGAACCATCTAAAATTGCATCAACAAACAGTGACATATTATAAGAGGAACTATGACTGTCCTAAACTTTCTTTAAGCCACGAAAAGGTATGAAAAATAAAATAACATTACTAGTAATAATTTTAACTCATATTCTTTAGTGAAAACTATAGATCTAACATACTATCTTGTGATACTTGTAAAAAAAAAATATTTCTGATTTCTTAGTTTTTTTTAACTGAATTGCTGGGAGTGGCAGATACCTCAATCGATTATGTTTTCTGCTCTGAATTTCTCCGCCACCTTGAAGTCTCCCTAGTTGCCTGCAGTCTGAAACAAATTTCAATAGGAGGAGTTCATTCACGCTCCTTCCTTTTGGAGTTACAGAAAGCTATGAAAACTCCAGATTGCTATAGAAGTTGTGGCATGAAAAAGAAAGAAGGCAGTCCTCCAAATTCCTTGGTCACCTCAAAACTTATGAAGGATGAGAAAAATGTATCTCATCCAAATCTGTGATAACTGATGAGCTACCAAATAACAGAATACTAGAGTTGGAAGGGACCTTGGAGTCTTATGCTCCAGTCCTCAAGCAGGAAAACCTATACCCGTGATAGCAAACCTATGGCACGCGTGCCACAGGTGGCACGTGGAGCCATTTGTCAGGGCACACAAGGTGATGCCCTGTGAGCTGGCCAGCATGCCTGCGTGCGCTGGCCAGCTATCTTCGGCCTTCTTTTCTCCCTCCCCAGGCTCCTAAAAAGCTTCTGGAGCCTGAGGAAGCGAAAAAACTGCAGCAAAAGCGGGGATGGGTTTGCTGATCCCGTGCATGCGCCGTGCTGGGGGAGTCACTGCATAGCATTATGGGTGTGGCATGCCGGTGCAGGAGCCCCCTATGCTTCCCCCCGCCCACTTTTGGCATGGCAGCCAAAAAAGGTTTGCCATCGCTAACCTATACCATTTCAGATAAATGGTTGTCCAATCCCTTCTTAAAAATCTCCAGTGTTACAGCACCCACAACTTCTGGAGGCAACTCGTTCCATTAATTGTTCTGTCAGGAAATCTCTCCTTAGTTCTAGGATGTTCTCTCCTTGATTAGTTTCCACCCATTCTTCTTGCCCTGTCTTCAGGTGCTTTGGAAAATAGACGAGGGGCTGCCTCTCCTTGGGTTGCCCTTCAAATATTGGAACATTGCTATCAGAACATCCAGAGTTCTTTTTTCATTAAACTAGATATATCCAGTCCCCTAATCATTTTTGTTGCTCTTCTCTGCACTCTTTTTCCAGTCTCAACATCTTTTGTATATTCTGATGACCAAAACTGGATGAAGTATTCTAACTGTGGTCTTGAAAACAAATCCTCTTTCATGACACTTAATAAGAATTTCTACAAACATGCATAGGTTTTCCACACAGCATTATTACAATAATACTCTTGTAGAAGAAATGACTTTCATATGTGTGTTTTAAGCGTGCAGGTTCCGCTTAACAACCACAATTGGAACTAACAATTCCATTGGAAAATTAAGTGAGACGTTATTTGACCATAACAAACTGATGACCTCACATTCACTCTGGTTGTTAAGGAAACCCACCACAACAATTGAGACATATCACTGCAATTTGCGATTTTACACTTCTTCGTTGACTCTGCTTGTTGGAAATTTGACTGCAAAGCTCACAAATGATAATCATGTGACTGCAGGACACTGTGATGATAAGCAAAGTTGACTGCATAACCACAGGGACACTGTGACCGTCATAAGTGCAAGGAATGGTTGTTACTTTTATAACACAATTGTAACTTTAAATGGTAACTAAACTGGGCAGTTGTTAAGCAAGAGTTACCTGTATAAAACATCTATATTCACAGAATACAGACCATTACATATCTATACTACGTTACATTTTATCTTCTAACTATAAATGCAGGAGCCCAGCATTACCCCACTCCAAAAAAAATAGTGTTCTAATGCCTTTAAAGAGAACTATCGATATGCACCTTTGTTTTGAGCAAGTCATTGCTTTTCCTCAACTCCAAAAGCTGTTTTTCCAGAGAAGCAATATTTGCTAAAAGGGCGTTTTTCTCCCGAATTGCAGCAGACAGATTTGATTCAGACTTGGCAAGATGTTCCTCCAGGGCTTGCAATCTTTTATCTTGCTGGGCACGTATTCCAATTAGTATCCGAATCTACTCAACAGGATGAAATTAACTGAAACATTAGATAGAAAGCAAGTCCATCTCTTTATACAGTTTGGCAAAAGGCACAAGAATGTATTGCTAATATAAAACCACTGGACTGAAAGATTCTATTCCTTACATGTTCATTGAAAGAAGCAACCGTATATTTATTTGTAATATGCGCCTCTGAATAATTTCAAGATAGCATATTTAAATCACAAAATACAGGTTAAATAAAACAAGAGAAAGTAATTAATGCACTCCTACAATTTAAAATGTAAATTAAAATATTCATAACATTCTCTTTAGGGGCTAGTTTAATAAAGACTAACAATCAGACTCCACAAATATCTGAAAACAATATGGAATTTTACTGATACTTTTTTTTGTTTATTAAATTTGTAGGCAACTCAACTCATAACATCTCTGGTCAACATACAACACTGGTTCATAAACTGGAGGTAAAAAGCCTCAAGGGTAATTTAGAAATATCACGAGGGTAATGGAATAATTTGTCATTGTCTGTGAGTTGTGGATCCAGTTATGAACTGCAGCTAAGACACGTGTAAAGCAAGAGTTGAAGGGTCCTAGGTGCTCTCTGAGCTTGCTCGTTTTCTTGCAGATGCTTTATTATCCAAACTAGGCAACATCATCAGTGCCAGTAAGGAGTGCAGTTTACTGTCAGTTTATATAGCCATCAATAGACACATAGACATTAACGTCTATAGAGTATGCAAGAGACAACCAACCAGCCAAAAAGGGAACAAAAAGACCAAAGCACCTCTTCACCAGCAATCAGCACCCAGATCAGCAAAGATTAATTCCACATCAGACCAACAATCAAATAAACAGTACCCCAATCAAGAAACCAACAGTAAATAGCCTAACCAAAGAATCTCTAAGATCATTCCCATCAACACTGACAGGGCAAGCCACTAAAATATAAACTGATAACAAACCACACTCTTTACTAGCACTGATGTTACCTAGCTTGGGTAATGAAACATCTGCAAGAAAACAAGCAAGCTCAGAGAACACAAAGGACCCCTTCATTTCAACCCTAAGCTGCAAATATCCTCCTTTATTGGTTTAACAGAGTTTGTCTTTTTGTGGGAGTGATGACATTGTTCAAAACAGGAAAAACAGGTAATTGGGTCAACAGTTTAAGAATGTCTGACATACAAGATAAAAGCATATAGTTAAGACGAGAAACTTTAAGCCCATTTTATACAGCTAGCTTATTGATTAAGATGTATCATCAACTCCTGTGTTGACTCTACATCAGATTTAAAATAATGTTGATTCATACCTCCTTTTCCAGCTCTTTTTGCTTTTTCAATTCTTTAATGGAAATCAGACTCTTGTCAGACTTCATTCCCATGGTTTTTGGCTTTAAATTGAAGAAATATAAAAACTAAAATTAAAACTTTGCAAGTTTGCTTCATAAAGTTACTGAAAGTTAGAAATGAGATTTTGCTTTCACTTTTTATGAAAACAACATTTAAAAGTATAAATGCAGCATGAATTACCACACAGCTGAGAAACACACCAACTGCTGGGAAATCATACCCTGCATATAGTTATGCATCTTTAATGACATTTTGTGAAAATACTTTGAAAAACAGTTTAGCAAATTTTAAATTATCCAGTTTAATATGTGGGGTTGGAAACCCCACCCCATAAAACAATTGTCATTGTCATAACTATTACAATGCCAAATTCTGTCTCCTTTAATATGGCTAACAGTTTGCTTAACATTTAGATACAGTATATTCTACTGTAAATTTAAAAAAAACTCCTAATTAGAAAAAAATATATTTCACTCCCTACAAAATAATGCTAATGGAATATAAAAGAATGACTCTTACTCTTGAACCGAGAGATGGAAGTTTTCTTTTAGTTGCTGGGGAAGGAATGGGTTTCATGTTGCTTGGATTTGGCTGGTCTCCTACATCTTCTACAAAAATATAAAATAAGAGGTTTCATTCTCAATCCTAAAGTGTGTAGTTTCCCCCAAATATATTCCAAAGCTATTAACAACACTGAAACACTAGAAAATAGAGACACTATACAGAAAGCTTGAAATAGAAAATCAGGCACATTATCTATTTTACTTACAAATGTTCCAAATCAATGGTAGCAATGATGTCATTTCAAAAAATAACGTTATCATTTTCCCCAATTCTACACTCCATGAAAGCTTACATGTCAAATGTAAGTATATTTACAGTTTTATAATGAAATTAATGTGATTCCCAAAGAGAAATATTAACTTGTTAAATACATAATTCCAGTAAATATAGGATTTCATTTGATTAAGCTATTTAGAGGCTTCCAGCTAAAAAGAGCAAAGGGGCTGCTTGGTTTTAACAAAATCATGTTAAATGTGAACTGGCAGAATAAAAATAGCAATGGCACTTAGATTTATATACCACTTCATAGTGCTTTTACACCCCTTTCTAAACAGTTTACAAAGTCAAAATATTGCCCCCAACAATTGGGTCCTCATTTTACTGACCTCGGAAGCTAAGTCAACCTTGAACCATGGAGATTTGAACTGTTGAACTGCAGCTAACAGACAGCTGAATTAGCCTGCAGGACTCTAACCACTGCACCACTTCTGCTCTTTTTGTTGGAATTAGGCAGGACAACACATACACATTTTGGCAAGATTTGGTTTAGTAAACTAAGATCAATTGAATACAGTTACAGTAAAATGAAAATGTATTTTTTCTGTATGCAGGTGATCCTCGACTTACAACCACAATTGAGCTCAAAATTTCTGATGTTAAGTGAGAGATTTGTTATGTGAGTTTTGCCTCATTTTATGATCTTTATTGCCACAGTTGCTAAGTGAATCACTACAGGTATTAAATTATTAACATGGTTGTTAACTGACTTCCCCATTGAATTTGCTTGTCAGAAGAATGGAAAAGGTGATCACATGAGCTGGAATTGTCATAAATATGGGTCAGCTGCCAAGAGGCTGAACTTTGATCATGCGACCATAGCGATGCTGCAAAAGCCATAAATGTGAAAAATGGTCATACGTCATTTTTTTCCAGTGTCGTTGTAACTCAAATGGTCACTAAATGAACTATTGTTAAGGACTACCTTATTTAAAAGTAGAATTGTCAAACATAAACAACTATTTAAACATTTGATTAAAATCCAATTTGTATAGGACACATCGTTAATACAATTTAGCATCACTTCAGCAATTTTAAATTAAAAAAATAAATGCCCAGTATGTTGTTTTTTGAAAAAAAAATACTCACAGTACTGCTACATAGTGCATTCTGAATTTTGTTGTTTTCATATTATCTCTGTCAAGTTGCTAATTAGCTGTGGATGAACCTGTTTATTTCTTGACCTTAAGTAACAACAACCTTGAGTAAGATTGCCAATTGATCAAGTTAGACACTGCATTGAGCCTGAGTTTGCCACTCACTGTTTAATTCTTAGCACCTAGAATTTTATAGGAAATAAATCCTGCTATGTTTGCTAAGGGTCATTACAGAGGAGATAAATCAGGAAAGATACCCCAGTGAATAAGGTGTTATTCAACATTCAGCTGCTACACATGATCAAACTGCAAAGTAAATTAGAAACAGACGATCTCCAGACACAAATAAGCAACTGTACATATAAGTAAAAAGCTGATGAAGAAACTTTGCAAAAGCCACTGCCATTCATAACCCAATTACTTACCCATTTGCATCTTGAATCGTTCAGACTTTTCAAAAGACACAGGTCCTTTTGATGGGTCTGAATTTTTGATATCGTAAGAGCCAGGTGGTGGGGCACAAGCTAGAGATGTGGGTAGGAGACAGATATTAATCAAAGTCAGAGCACCAGTTACAATACATTTAATTTCTTTTTTAAAAATAATCTATTAGAATGATTATATTTAACTTAAATTTGTGTATATTTTGTGGGGGGTTTTTTCCTTGTTTTCATGAGGTACCTTTGAATATTTATGAACTCTTAATAAAATGCCCCCATCACAGGGAGAGAAGGTAAATTGTATCTGTTCCAAAAATATATAACTTCAGACCTTGATACAATTAGTACTTATTTTAAAGAATATACCATCCTTTTGCATGATCTACCATGGCCTACTTGAAAAGAATACTATTTGAAATTTTTGTCACAGAATTTCAAAGAAATTCTTGATTTGGGGGCACCTCTAAAGAAGTCTTTCTCAATCTTAGCAAGTTTAAGCTGAGTGAATTTCAATTCTCAACGTTCTGGGCTGGATGGGGAATGAAATCCACTCATCATAAATGGTGCATTCCAGGCTTCTGGAATGTGTTTTTACAACTGCCAAGGATTGCATTGGATTTGTGATATTAAAGCAACAGGAAACTCCCTATTATCTAGCTCTGACCTTGGCTTGGCTTGAACTAATCAGGGTTATGTCTGGTTACAACCTGAGTAGGAAACTTCAAAGAAAATCAAAGCCCAGATTTTTTTAAAAAAAATCCAGAATGCAATAACCAACCACTTATAAAGTGTTGCCATGAAATTATTAGGAGTTAAATTCAGCTCAAAAGAGACTACCTTTTACCTTGCATGACTTCTAAAGCTGGATGCACTAAAGTCTCCTATTTAAATGTTGTTGTTTTTTAATTCTGACCTACCAGCAAATAAATGATCTGTTTGATCTCTACCTTTTTTGTGAGGTTTGCAATAGTTCACGGTGAAAATATAACACTAAATGTAAGTTTTTTAAAAAATTATGTGATTTATCATGGGATAAGCAGGCACCTCCTTTTTCAATCTTTTCACCTACTTACATTGATCATAGCACTATCCTAGTGCATTAGTGCCAAGCAATTCCAAGATTTTTTTTCTCCAACAATGCTTTACTACCCTGTTACTCTGCAGGCCAATGGTAATTCTGGCTGGTAATAATGGGAATTATAATCCACTTCATTAGGGAAGTTCTGGATTGGGTAAGGCTGTCTTATTATATGATAGAGGAAGGAAATGCTGATATAATGATATCCTAAATATCTCAAGAACGGAACTTCTTACAATTTACCATTATTTTGGAGATAGAAGGTTGCACAGAAGTGCAGCAAAGTAAGGCGGAAGGAGAGATATAACACGTTATGGCGCATATTTTCCATCATGCTCGAAAAAGATATTTTCAAAGATCTTTTCCTTCGGAAGAGCAATCAGAGCCTCTTGAAAAACAAAACAAACCCAGCGTGGCCCAGCACCCATTCACTTACTTAATGCCTCATTGAAGCGCTTGATCGGAGCCTTCGGAAAAGACATAGCCAGCCCGCAACTTCCTACAACCAGAACGCACAGAACAAATTCAAAAACTGAACAGAATCCCGCCCGCTTTAAGAACGCCCGAATCAGCCAATTGGAGAATTCGACCGACCAGTTGGTCAACAAATCAGGGCTCCACGGTGGAGCATGCGCTGTAGGTGGGCGGAAGATAATTAGGTAATAGATTTAATAGGTAATAGAATATAATAATAAAGATTGCGAAGCTAGGCATGGATGAGGCGATATGATTTTAGACTCCCAAACTGAGTGCAATGAAATGTGAACAGAAATGATTGACAGTTTGAGATTGTAAAGTAAAATGAATATTTAACCTACTTTAGACTTTTCTTAAGGATAAATTCACAGCCTGTCCCGTTTTCAAAAAAACGACAACAACATTGTATGTTGTCAAATGGAAATACATTTTATACTGTGCACATAGAATGCAGTTTCAACACGTCAACTAGATTGTGGATATATTTAGCAAGCTTCCCCAGCCTGGCATCTTTTTAATTCAAGATCAATCCTTTGGGAACTCTCATAATCTGCTGGCCAATCAATGATTTTGGGAATTGAACTCCAAAAGGATCTCTCGATCAAGAGCAACGGGCGTGATTATAGTACGGAAGCCTTGTTTCTTAACCCTTTCTTCACGCAAAATATTGACATCCTGAGTGAATAGCAAAATTATCTGTGATTTTTAAAGAGGCTCGTGTAACTACGCATGTTCCTTTTTACTAGCAGTGGGCAAACAAATTGACCAAATGTAGCGGATAGCAATAGGGCTTTCTCAGTGTCGTTTCCCCCTATTATCTCTCAGTAGTTCTTGACAGGCTGTCGTATTGCTTGACTTAAAGGTTTTTCATTAATACGAGAGAAAACAGCTAGAAACTTGAACCAGCTGTTTTCACACAAAAGGGCAGATTGTGCTGTGATTACCGGTAGTTGTGAAATGTTATAACCACGCACTCTACCGTTCTGGATCTATGGGCGATGTTGTAGGAAGCTGGCGGAAGTCTGGCACGCTTGGCTTCGCTCCCGGTGGTTTCTACCGGAATAGTTCCGAAGGCAAGGCGAAGCGGATCGGAGGAGCGGCAGCCGGGCAAAGGCGCATGCGTCTTTTTCCCTCCAGACTTGAGCGGCCAAGTAGATGTCTGCGCCGTTCGAAGAGCGGAGCGGGCTCGTGCCCTGCGCCACTCCCTGGGGACGCTGGTACCAAACCATGGAAGAGGTCTTCGTCGAGGTGAACGTGCCGCAAGGGACCCGCGCGCGGGACGTGGAATGCAGCCTGAAGAGCCGGCACTTGGCTTTGACCGTAGCGGGGAAGGAGGTGCTCAAGGTACCTCTGCAAAACTGCAAAACAGAAGAGAGAGCATGTCCTTCCATGCTACTTCGGTTTAGCCCTCATGATGTGAGATGGGAGGGCGTGGCGCAGATTCATTGCTGCGTGGTCTCGCATTGAGTTTTGCTTAATGTTTCTACTATGCTAAGCGTTTTTGACGGAGCGAGGGATGTGTGTGGGTGTGGGTGTGTCTTCGAGTCAATCTTGACTCCTGGTGACTGCCTGGATAATGTCCTGCAGTTTTGTTGCCAGGATGTCAGAAGTGATTTGCCAACAAATCGCTTTTATAGTCCTTTTATCATTTCCCCTAGAAACCAGGAGTCTGGGAGTTCTAGTGCTGCCTTAAGCATGAAGCCAGACTTTGAACCTCACCCTCAGCCTTAGAAAGCAGGCAATGACAAGCCATTTCTGAAAACCTTGCCAAGAAAATTGCAGGGACCATATCAAGGGAACCTTGTCACCGGTCACATTGATTAGTAAAAGAAGAAAAAAATAAGTAAACAGGTTATATGTAGAATTCTGGTTTAATTACCCCACTCTCATCTTGAGCACTGCATGTAAAAGCTTAGTCTCCTATCTATCTCCCATCTTAGACAGACAATTCAGATTTCTAGTCTACCATTGATGAGCAAAACCAACAGTAAAGCCAGGAATACAGTTAGAAGAATAAATAATATTTATGTTGTATAATCTTTTAGATGCCAGTCTGCCTTGACAAGCTGAATAAAATGTAACATTTGTGCTAACAGGTAGTCCTCGGTTTATGACCGCAGTTGGGATTGGCATCTCAGTCATTGAGTAAGGCAGTTGTTAAGACGTCATATGAATGCTTTGCTCAGTTGACCACAATCCCACTGAGTGCCGAAAAGGGAGCATGCACGCTCATCTGGCCCACAACCTGGAAGAGGAGCTGGCCAGGGCGCATGTGCATGCCCAAAATGAACTTCTGGTTTCCAGTGTGCACATGCACACTGGCCAGCTAGTCTTCCAGTTACTGGTGTGCATGCGCTTGCGATGATCAGCTGGCTGGCACACATGCTCATGCAGGAAAATGGAAGACTAGCTCTTCCAGTTTCTGGCACTGCTGCATGCACAAAGGCCAGCTGATCATCGTGTGCGCATGCACACCAGAAACCTGGAAGAGGAATGGCTGACGCCACACGTACCAGGTGACATGGCTCCATATGCCACTTCGGGCACGCATGCCATAGGTTCGCCATCACGGATATATAATATGAGGTAGCGAACAGGTCTGCTTTGGGGTTGGCCTTACACAGACTACATACAAGTCTCTTTCTGCTTATGAGATGAAATTCCTCCCTGCCAAAATTCAGAAAGATTCTCATCACTCAAATAAAGGGACACTGTGCAGCCTGCACTGGGCTTCCCAGGGCTTCCCCCAAGCATCCCAATCACCTTGTGGTCCTTACTTTATCTCGTTGGTTCTCAACTCAGGAGCTGAAAATCTTGCCTGCTGCAATTCAAGCAGGCACAAAGTTGAAATTCCTCAGAAGAAAGTCCTTTCATCCAGCCCAGAAACAAGTGAGAGTCCTCTTGACAGGCGACTGCATATTGTATGAAACCTTCCCTGCTGGTTTCCCCAATGAATTTCTGGGAAAACCAGTAAAGACGATTGCAAATGGTGATCCCACAATTGTGGGGCACTTGGAAACTGATCGTAAATGTAAATACATTTCCAAGCACCCAGACTACAGTCATGTATGCTGATTCATTCCCTATCTTTGGAATTATGGCTTCGGAATAAAAAACATGTCTGTCACCTTAGGTGTCACTAAACAGTTGACAACTTAATCATTTCTCCTTTCCAAAAGGGATCTAATTTGGAATTAAATCTTTCCATTTCATCAGGATAGAGTTCAAATGAAAGAAAAACAAATGGTCATAATTAAGCTTTAAATTTTTATATATTAGAATCTTCAAGCCCTCAATTAATATAGCCAAATCTATTAAAAATGTGTCCTTTTATGCTATAATTGTACTGTTAAGCAACCTTTTTGATGATCTACTAAATCTAATATTTATTCAGCAAAGTTTACAAAATTATATGCAAAACTCGTATTTCTGTTCCCAATTTTACATTCAAATATTAGAAATCTATAATACTTGCTTTGAAACTGGGCTCCTATATTTTTATTTTTGTTTTCCAGGGTAATCTATTTGACTCTACAATAGCTGATGAAGCGACCTGGACACTAGGTAAGATCTGTGCTTCAGAAAACTTTACACAACAATTTAGTTTCATTGTAAACTTTCCTTTTTCTAGCTTGGATTTTTTGTTATCTTTTTCTTTTAAAAAAAAAACACCACATGGTATATGTATACTATTGTTTTGTAAGGACATGGGAGAGGTTATTTTGCAACCATTTTTCCCTTTTGGCAAAATCACAAATTTGTTTCTCACTTATTTTGCCCATGTCAAGTGAAGGAATTCGCTAGCGAAAGCAATTATGCTGGGAAGAGTTAGTGATAAAGCAAAGCAAGCCGCCAAAGAACATGGTGATTAGACACCATCAAAGCTGATACCAACCAGAACATAGAAAATAGAGATCTGGTCCATGGAATCTGCAAGAGTCAGACACGACTGAATGGATAACATCATCGTTTTCCTTTTCTCAACTTTTTAAAATAAAACGAAAGCTTCTTAAGAGAAACCTACCTGCATAAATTATCATTCCCATATTCTGATTTGTTAATAGAAGTGGAGGTAAAAATGAGGGTTCACCAACAAATGCGCGCTCGAGAAAACCGCAAGGTCGAAATTGCACCGATGCACGCAAAAGCACGCCGACAAAAGCGCACCTTCAACAAACAACTAATAACAACCTAATAACCCTAACCCTAAACTTAACCCTGAACCTAACCCTGAACCTAACTCTAACCCTAACCCTTAACTTAAATTGCGCTTTTGTGGGCGCGGTTTTGTCGGCACGTTGTGGGAGTGTTTATGACATCGCCGTGGTTTCGTCGCTGCGCTTTTGTCATGCGCGCATTTGTCGGGTCATGAAAAATGAGTCTGCTGGTTTCCATTTAGGTAAATACTTCAGCTATCTTGAGTTAAGATATATTCAAATGTTTTCTAATTTGATTGAACCATTGAAGAAAAAGATGTACGGGAATGTGACAACACTGATCTCTTTAAAGTCTTGAAAGATTTATTGTAATGTCAGAACATGGATAGATGGGAGAAATAGGGAAGGTTCGTACCCATGATGTTCATGAATTATACAAAGATCAACAGAATGCTGTGATTAATATTTTGTTAATCCAGTATATGAAAAAAAAAAACTGTTTTTATGGACCTCCTAACTTAGAAAGTTTGAAGGTTACTCAAAAGCTACATTGCATTCAGAACACGGGAGAATGGCAAAGTTCTTCCCCATGTTGCAATGACCATCTTAGAACTTCCTGAAACATCTTGCTGATTTCTAACAACCTGAAATTTATCATAATTAGTACAAGTATCTGTCTGTTTTTTTAGCTGTAAAGGAAAATAGGACTATATTCCAGCACTTGTATTAAATTAATTTCAGTTGGAATATCATTCATTAGACCATGTCCCTTCACTCTGGAAAACAAATTTGTGTTGTATTTCCTTACAGTTCAAAATATAAGATTTATTATGATAATATGCCATCAAATCAGTGCTGAATTTTAGGGATCACATAAATTTTCTCCATGATAATTTGCCCTCAATTTTGTCTTCTAACAGTGTACTCTTGATCTTATAATTGAGTGTATCCATCTAATCATCCTCTTCTTTCAAATAATGGTGAATAAATCCAGTGTTTTTTTGTTTGAAAAGAGGATCAGAAATTTATACGAATCACCTTGACAAAAACCAACCGTGACGCTGGAAACTGTTGGAGTTCCCTGTTGAAGAATGAGTATGCTGCTGATCCCTGGCTTCAAGACCAAATGCAAAGGAAGCTTACATTAGAAAGGTTCCAGAGGGAGGCAAGTCAATAGATATTACCCATATTGTAAAACAATGGTGGCCCAGTGGTTAGAATGCAGTATTGCAAACTCTGCCCACAGCCAGGAGTTCAATCCTGAGTTCAAGCTTGACTCATCCTTCCATTCTTCAAGATCAGTGAAATGAAGACCCAGATTGTTGG